ATCGTAATGAACTTGACCATCTTCTGCAACTGTTCGCAATTCAACCAACGATACCAAGCCCCGCTCTGGAGCATCTGAAATGTCAGTCCTGAAGCCGTAGTCCTCAGCGAAGTACATCGCGTCCCGAGCAGATGCGCGGCTTGCCTCGCACGCGCCCCTCACGTTGCGGAGAAGCTCAGCTCGGTGGTCGCCAGAGATGGCGTCAAAGACGTCGCTTTTATCAGGCCCTGCATGGTTATGTTGGTCAGGCTGTCGATCTCCAGCGTCGTCCTCAACGTCCGTATCCTTGCCGTCGCTGTCGAGGCCCTCGCTGGCGCCCTCGAGGTCCTCGCACTCCTCCTCCATGGCGTCCTGGGCAATCAATCGTTCAAGCTCCTCAGAGAAGCCGCCGTCGTCCTCAAGCATGTCAGGCAAACCGCCCTCGGCGTCGACAGTGTGTGTATTCTTTTTCTTGGGGCCATTGTAGGCCCGCTTGAACAGCGGCGTCACTTGGGCAGCGTCAGCGATCACCGAGGCGGCCTTCAACGACGTCCACGGCAACTTGTACTGGACCAGATGCAAGCGAGGACGCTGCTTCCGCCCAGCTGGAGCACGCGCGGTACGTTTGACAATTGGAACGTGCAAGTGAAAATGACAGAGCTCGTCCGCGTGGCCAGTTGCGCAATGCATCGTATTGCAGTGCGAAGTCCCCGCCAAGAATACAACGCTGCGGTCTAAAGCAAGTGCGCGTGTATCAGGTGCGTCTGGGCCGACAATCACATACGCATACCTGGCTCCCAAGTCAGTCACATCAAATATGCTATAAGATATCGGAAGTGCTTCTCTGGCATTGTCGGGCAGGTCACCGACGAAGTGCGTGGCGGACGTATTGCTCGATCCAATAAGAGGGACAGCATCGGGATGAGGCCGTGCGCCGGCGTCGCGCCCCTTGTCTGTGAGGGGGCTGAAGCGAAACATGTTCGCATCTGTCTTTGAGAACTCGACGACCTTCTTGCGCACTGCGACGGCCTCGTCGGTGGGAGTCCGTTCGCCAACTCTGTTCTTGAGGCGATCCGATGCCAGTCTCACTTTAGTGCGTGGAGCCCGTTCGCACATATTCTTCAACGTACTGTTCCAGCCTTCGATCTCCTGCGCCTCGCCATTGAATAACGCACGCCAGCCTGAGAGAAATATCCATGCCATTCTCGTGCACTTACCAGTGCCCTGCATGATGACGAAATCTTCATAGAACATGGCACGTAACTTGAAGCTGAAGGAGTTGTACACGCCATCCTGCCACTCTAAGTTCTCCTTGGACGCAGTCATCAACCGATGGGCTAAGGCTTTGCGAGGAGCCGAGGCCCCCTCAGGGTCCGCCTCCAAGACGTTGAGAAAGTCGAGTGGGAACCCCTGCGTGGGGTCGTACATCCGTCGCTCCCAATCAAGAGCGCCACGCACCACCAAGGTCACGATCAAGCACAATGCCTTCGAGGAGGTCCGAACGCCAAACGAAATCAGACCACCGAAAACGAACCGAAAACTCAAAACCAACTGGTGTATTTTCATTGTTGTGAAGTTTCTTTTGGCGTTGCGAACCTCCTCGACATGTTCTGGTACATCGTCAGCTCGAATCAGACTCCAGGTGCCGACCCAGTGCGTCAGCATGGCGTCGTCGCCCAGGAGGGCGTTGAACCCGTCTAAGATAACCTTGGCCTTGCCCGACGCGAACTTAGAAACGAAGGTTGGACCCGTGTAGGCGGCCCCTTGCTTTGATGCTTCCGATCGGTGTTCTCGCTCAATCGACCATTCCTCAGGTACATCTCGATGTCGTCAACGGAGCCCCACCGCGTCGCGATAACCCGATGAATGGTGTTGCCGACAGATTATTTGACAACCTTGGGTGGGAACTTGAGCTCGGCAGCTGCTTCTCTGACTTTCCGTGGGACGCCTGCGCCTCTCAGAGTGTTCGCGATAACCTTCAAACCAGAAAGAAACGAAGAAGATCCCCAGGGCGTATGCCATTCCCAATTGTTCGTGGTATCAACCATGCTCTGCTGGATCAGCGCGTTCTGATGGAAGCGGCAAAAATAACTAGATATCATCACCCAACGGACGTTAGAAACAGCTGCGACTGCAGCTCGAACGAGGCCTACACAGTCAGGTCCGCTATCTAAGCAAAAATGATAACTCCGGAAGCTAGGTCCATCTCGGCATGCGGCCTCCATCCACGTCGGAAGCCCCGCATTGCGAAACTGTCGCGTCACCAAGTCTGTGGTTTCTTTTGCACCGCCCGTCCGAGCTGCCAGCAAGCCCAGCACTTCCCGAAAGAATGTCAGCTTGAGGTCGTCACTGTCGAAGTTGGTGTCGCTGCTGATGTCGCTCAACGCCTCTGGGCATGTTGCAATGTAACTGGCTTCACCTGTCCACACTTTTGCCTTGTCGACTGCCTCTTGGTTCGTGGCGTCGCCCCTGAACATGAAGAAATCGAAGCTGAACAACTTGCCCCCAATCAACGCCACCATATCCCCACTGTCCAGAGAAGCCGCCCTCGCGTAGTTGATGCATATCTCATTCGGTGTCGCGTGCAAGTGATTGACCGAGTCATAGAATGATTTGACGACCACGGTCCTGGCAATGGACAGGTTATGCTCGAAGCGGCTGACCATGTTCTTGGCGCCGTCTGTGAAGGACCCCTGCCACTCCTCGCCAGCACACATGGCCACGACAGATCGTGCGCTGCTGCAGCCGTGAGACCTCTTGTACGCCAAATGGTAGCCGCCCCATATGCTGACGCAGCGCTTGCCTGGTCTGAAGTTCGTTTTCTGCACAAGTGAACGGTGGGTGTCGTGTAGGATCCGAGATTTTTTTGTGTGTAGCCCCAGGCGCTGCTCCGTCGTCGCCAGCCGTCGTTTCACCTGCTTGAGTTCGGACTGCAAGAGTGTTAGTTCGTTGTCTCGCTCCACCATCTGCACTGCTAAATCGTACTTGGGCATCTCGTAGTAGACAGAGACGCTCGGGCGCTGGACCACGTCGAAGCCGCCTTGGATCTCCGCTGCGAGCGCCAGCGCATCCTTGACCTCGTTACCGTCGGGCGCCTGGATAACTGGGACGTCAATCGATTCTGCCAGCTTTTCAAAAACTCCTACCAGCGTGGCCTCCGACACAACAGCGGCGCCCAGGAACGAGTTGACCAACAAGTGAAAGCATTCGAACCTGATGCCGTGATTATCCGCACGCATGCCGAGGCTGGAGATAGTGTCCTTTATCGTTTTGGGTTGCACGTCCAGACGCAAGGCACCCAACATATCTCTGATGGCTCGAGCGCTCACAGCGCCTGTCGAAACAATCGTTCGGGTGACATGCTTTCTGGCACTCAGGTGCTGAAGAATCTGAGTGGCGATCGAACTCTCAGTCCGAAGCATTGTCGTGCCGAAGCAAACTTTGAGCCCAAATGGCTACGCGGACGACCCTTGGACCCTGGGACCCTTGCTGTTAAGCATTCCCTTATCGTCCCATCTTGGCGTTTTGGAGGCGCTGGGTAAGGATACCTTCGGGAATCCAGGGTCTCGCGACCGATCTGCAGCTTGAAAAAAAACTCATCCTCCTCCGCTCCCGTCTTCTCCTCCACCTCCCCACACTGTACCCCGAGACGCTATGGCCAGAGGCCCCAAAACTCAGGAACGGCACCCTCACAATTCTTTCAAGCTGGCGACGTGCCCGTGGGCGCGTTAGCTCGCATGACGGCCACGGCGGCACGGTGCGCATTGGCTCTTGGGCCTGTGGGAGGGGACGCACGAGAACACGAGAACGATAAAGGAAAAGAGGGCGCCTTCAAGGCTTCCTCTTTTCCTTTATCGTTCTCGTACGTCGTCGTCACCATCGCCGTTCTCATCGTCGCCGTCGTCGCCGTCGTCATCGACGCCGCCGCCCCAGCCAGACAGGCGCCCCGCCTCGGGAGGGGGCCCGTGGCGGACGCGCGCGGCCGGCGCAAAGCGCTGCGGCCCGCGAAGGAGGAGGAGGAGGAGGAGAAGGATGTCAATGCGCAGCACACTTGTACATCCTGCAACATTCCTCACACTGCTCTGCCGCCTACCCTACATCATCTGTCACTCTCCTTCGTCCCCCTCCTCTTCCTCCTCCTCCCTCCTCCTCCCTCCTACTCCTCCTCCCTCCTCCTCCCTCCTCCTTCTCCTCCTCTTCCTCCCTCCTCCTCGTCCTTTTCCTCGTCCTCCACCTCCTCCACCGCCTCATCCTCCTCCACCGCCTCCTCCACCACCTCTAACTGGCCGAAACATATGAGAACACATATAAAAAGGAACCTATTAATACGAAAGACGACGACCAGACTTTTTTTTGGAAGCTGGAACCTACGAAACCTCTCGATGAAGACACCCCAACCGATATTGGGATCGATGTGGTGCCCCGAGGTGTACCGTGGTGTCCCAAAAGTGAGATCGACAGTGAGATCGATAGTGAGATCGGCAGGTGTCCCATGGTGTCCCGTGATGTCCCGTCGAGTGAGACCGATAGTGAGACCGATAGTGAGATCGATATTGAGATCGATGTGATGCCCCGCGGTGTCCCGTTGTGTTCCGTTGAATGAGATCGATAGTGAGATTGATAGTGAGATCGATAGTGAGATCGATGTGGTGTCCCGTGGTGTCCTGTGGTGTCCCGTTGAGTGAGATCGATAGTGATACCGATAGTGAGACGATACTGAGATAGATGTGGTGCCCCGAGGTGGCCCGTGGTGTCCCGTTGAGTGAGATCGATCGGGAGATCGACAAGTGTCCCGTGGGGTCCCGTGGTGTCCCGTTGAGTGAGATCGATAGTGAGATCGATTGATTCAGATGTTGGTTCCTCTCCCCCCCACACAACCTTCTTATCACCGGAAGGGTGGTCGTATAGGTAAACATATATTTGTCTTTGACTGTTTTGTTCCGTGGCGGCGAGGCGGTCTCAGGCCAAAGGTCCGAGGGGGATCTTTGGGCGTCTCCATAGTCGCTCTGGTCCAAGCTCGCATGCACTGGCTTGCAGAGCAGCTCGGCGGGGTGGGTTCCGCTTTCGTCGGCGCGTACCTCGGCGCCTCCACCGCGAGCACCCATTGCTCGTGCCATTTCGAGTCCAGCCCCGTGGACGAGGGGCTCCTGACGATCCTGCGGGCGCAGCTGGACCGCTGCGGGCCCGAGCGGCTGCACGCCGCGGCGGCGCCTGTGTGCGCCCAGCCGGTGGGCGGCTTCTTGGTGGCGGCTGGCCTCGGGCTGCTGCTGGGCGTGAGCCTCACCCTGGGAGCGCAGGCCGCGCTCCGCCCGCAGGCCCCAGCCGCGGCCCAGCCTGCGGCCGCCGGCCGCGCCCCGGCGACTCCGCCGGCCCAGCAGGAGGGGGCCGCCTTGACGCCGTCTTCGCTGCGGCGCCTGCGGGATGGCGACAACACTGGACTCTGATATCATCCAGATTCTGGTGGATTTCGTCGACGATCCTAATATATTATGGCATCACCGACTGCTGCTCTTCGAGCTGGGGCCGGGGCGGTGGGTTTGCGCCACCCCGGATTTCTCAGTTCAGGTCATCGACTTGTCTGGGCACCGCGTGCTGCCCCTGGCGCGGGCGGCGCCGTGGCCGGCACAGGTGCGTGGCAATGTGTACGGCTTCGACCCGCTCACGGCCGACCAGCGGGACGACCTCTTCCTGCGGGGCGGCCAGCTCGCCCGGGTGCTGGGCCACCAGCCTGGCAACGTTGCGGCTGCCGCCGACCGCCAGTGGCGGGTCTCCGACACGGGCCACGAGAAGTTCAACGAGGTGGTCGCGGACGGGAGCATGTTGGGGGATCGAGCGGTCGTGAAGGGCGACACCGGGCTGTACTGTATCGACGAGGGCGCCAGCGAGTGGGTGTCCGTTCAGCGTGTGCGGGTCCAGGACCACGACGCCTGGCTGGAGAAGAAGCGCAGCGGCCCGGGTCGGGACCTGCGCATTCTTCCTGTGCATCGCGACGCGGGCGGCAAGAGAGTGATGCTGCTCCGCGAGTCCATCAACCTCTTCCGCGAGCCGAAGTTCCCCGACTGGCCGTTCGAGGGACCCTCGGCCGCCAAGGAGGTCTTGGGCGACGTGGCTGCGGCGGGACTGGAGCTCCATCTGTACCCGACGTGGTGGGAGAGCAAGAGTGGGGTGAACCCAGCGGGCAGCGTGGCGCGGGAGGTGCGTCTGGCCTTCGACTACCTGAGGATGCTCCAAGCATACGACCAGACGAACATGGTGTCCTTGGCGGCGGTGGAGCTGATCTGCCGCCGCATCGTCGTCTGCCAGAAGGCCGTGCGGCGGAACCCGAAGGCGCCGGACTTCACCGGCCTCGAGCGCTTCGTGCTGTCCAACTTCGACGAGTCAGGAGGACTCAAGACGACGGAGTTCGACAAGTACATGGCGGAGCAGCAGAAGGCCAGTGCCGTGGTGCTCAAGAGTATGCGGCAGGACGTCGAGGAGCAGGAGAACGAGAAGAAGAGGCAGGCCGGCCGCCAGCAAGGCGGCGGCAAGACGGGCAACGGCTAGAGAGACGTGGGGGCGGCGACGAGTCCAAGCCGGCATCGCGGGGCTTGGGCGGATCGGCGGCGCCCCCTTCCTCGAGGCCGTGTACGGCCTCCACTGACCGCGAGATTTTGTCATCGCCCTGCGATACGTTCCCCTTGCCGACGGGCTCCGCGTTGGACATGTTTGGCGGGGGTGATCGGGCGGCTTCGCGCCGCCTCCCGACTCGAGCGGGCGACGTGCCCTCAGCAGCAGCCCTCGTGTCAGACGCGGTGGCGGCGCTGAATGGCCTGGCGTCAGCGCGGATCGGCCGACCACTGCAGGCGCGGCGGTCGCGGCCAGCAGAGCGAGAGGTCACGTCGGCTCAGCAGTCGATTCTGGACCGTGTCGCGGAGCGGGTAGACGACCAGTTTCCTGCCCCTCCAGATGCTAGTTTTTCTTCGGCGCTTCCGGACCTCCTGAAGTGCGCGGACATGTATTTGACGAGCGAGTCCTCCAGCCGGGTCCCCATCCAGCTGGAGCGGCTCAAGATTTTGCAGAACAGCACGATGCCCAAGGAAGCCCTGGATGTGGTCGGCGCGGACGCCCGCAAGCTGCTGGCGGACCCCTGGCGCTACATCGAGCGGCGGGCCAACGACGTGGAGGCGGACGGTCCACCTCCTCGACCGTACACCGACCCCAGACTTCGGTTCAGCCGCAAGCTGATGAAGGAGCTCGTGCTCACCCTCCACCGGGGCAACCTCGTGGTCTTCCGGCCCTCGGTGAAGGCTTTCATCGGCCTCTTCACGGTTGTCAAGAAGGACGGCTGGTGGCAGCGTCTTATCGTCGACGCCCGCGTGCCGAACCATTGGCACCGGCGGCCGCCGCACTCGTGCCTGGCGACGCCGGGGGCGGCCTCCGCTCTCGACCTGAGCGATGCCGCGCTGGAGCCTGGGGCCGCTGGCTCGCTTGAGCTGTGCGGCGCCGCGGTCGACCTGCAGGACGGGTTCTACCAGCTGAGCTTCAAGGTGATGAGCGACTGGTTCGGCATCGATTGCCGGATGACCGCCGCCGAGGCGGGGATCACGCAGGTCTTCGACGTCGTGGACGGGGTCGGCACCTGGCTGCCCGTCGCGGCCAAGGACCCCGTGTGGCCGTGTTTTTGTGGCGTGCCCATGGGGTGGACCTGGGCGCTCTTCATCTGCCACTCAGCCCTGACTGACGCCATGGTCGAGTCCCTCGTGCGCGTGATGCGCTGCGATCGCGGTCTGGCCGAGGCTCAGCTGCTCCGCGACGGGCAGCCCGCGCCCCGGCTGGCCAAGGGGCGCCCGGTCGCAGCGCCGTACGTGGATAATGGGAACTTGTTGTGCTTCGACCGCGAGGACGCTGCCGCGTTCTACGGCTCGATGGCGGCCGTCCTCAGCGAGCGGGGCTTCACGCTGCGGGACAACGTGGAGTGCGACGCGAACCTCGACATGGTGGGTTTCGAGCTGCAGGGCGCCAAGTTCGTCTGGAGGCAGCGGCGGTCTCGGTTCTGGCGTCTGTGGCACGCGCTGCGGCAGCTGGAGCTCCGAGGCGGCTGCACGGGGGAGGTGATGCGCATCATCCTCGGCCACCTGGTCAACTTCTTCATGCTCTCGCGGCCCGCCCTCAGCGTGTTGTCGCAGCTGTATGTTTTTAGCACTGAGAACCTCGGGCGCTACCGACGGTTTGACGGCCATGTTCGAGGGGAGCTGGTCACCTGCCGCGGCTTGTTAGCCCTCGTTCGCAGTCGGCTGCGGCCGCACCACTACCCAGTCGCCTTTTGCTCAGATGCCTCGACGCGGGGCTACGCGATCCACAGTGGGCAGATCGACCCCCACCTGCTGTACGACGTCTGCCGCTGGCGAGAGCGCTGGCGATTCACCGTCGCGGAGGAGGACGAGGGGCCCGGCATCGACGGGGCTCAGACCGGCCTGGACGCCGACTTCCGCGAGCTGGGCGCCGACCTGGACATCGAGGACGGCGACTGGGATCGGAGGGGCGACCGCGCAGTTCCTGTGCGGCGCGCCCCGCGGGTCAGCAGCCTGGTGCCTGCCGAGGCCCTGCGGGCTGCCGAGCTCGGCCTCCCGCACCCCAGGGTCACGGGGATCGTGCCCGCGCTGCCGGACACGCTGGTGGCGCCGACGCGCTGGCGGCGGCTTCTGGTTGGCGCCTGGCAGCGCCGCGAGGCGATCCACATGAAGGAGGCGAGGATCGCGCTGGTGGGGCTGTACCACGCCGTCCGGGACCCTGCCAGCCACGGAGGCGTGGTCTTGTCGCTGGGCGACAACCTCTCGGAGGTCCTCGCCACCGAGCGGGGCCGGGCGCATGACCCCGCCCTCAACTCAGTGTGCCGCCGGGCAGCGGCGGTCGAGCTCGGAGCCGAGGTGAGGTGGGTTCGCCGCTACGTGGAGACGGACCGCAACCCCACGGACTCGGACTCCAGGCTCGCGGAGCAGGGGATCCTGGCGCCGGGCGAGTCGCTGCGCGGGGGTCGCCTTGCCGCCCGGCTGGGGCGCCTGCGCGAGGGCGCGTGCCGCCCCGACCGCGTGCCCGAGGGCGCCCCGCGCGCCGCCGCGGGCTCGGCGGCGGCGCCGGCGCCTTCCGCGGGCCCCCAGCGCCGGCCACTGTGGCCTGGTGCACGGGGGCCATCGCATCGGCGCGACCGCGCTGGGGTGCTGGAGATCTTCGGCGGGAGCTGCAGGTTCTCTGGCGCGTGCGCGGCGGCTGGCCTCCGCATCCTGTGCCCTGTCGATGTCTCGGCCGGGCCGCACTTCAACGTTCTTTGCATCGCTGTCCAGCAAAAGATACTGCATTGGATTTCTCACGGATATGTCTGTCATGTACACATTGCTACCCCGTGTACCCGCTGGAGTGTAGCCAACACGACTGGGGCCCCAGACTCGGAAGGTTCGAGAGCAGGCCTTGGGTGCGCTGACTTCACGGTGCGGGTCCTCAGGATGTGCCATCGGTGCGGGGTCTCCGTGTCGCTCGAGAACCCTAGGTCTTCGAGGCTCCTGAAGTACCCGCCCCTCGCTAACATCTTCGAGAAACTGGGCTGCGTGTCGTTCGAGTATCACTGTTGTCGCTATGGGGCTCCTTACCTTAAGCCGACCGTGTTCGTGACGAACGTCCCGTCCTTGGGTGTCATTGAGAGGGCCTGTGTGTGTACTGTACCCCATGAACGACTAGAAGGTAAAGTAAAGATCCCAGATGAGACAGGCAAACTAGTTTGGAAATGGAAGACCTCGTTGGCTGGCGCCTACCCTCCTGGCCTCTGCCGCGTCGCAGCCCGAGGGCTCAAGGAGGCTCTCGGGCCGGGTGCCCTCCGCCGCGATGGCGAGCCGGCGCTCGACCCGCGCTGGGAGCGCGAGCTGGCAGCGGCAGCGGGCCTCCCACAGCCGAAGCCGCTCGAGGTCCCCTCGTGTCCACGGCGGTTTACTACTGGCTGGGAGCACGCCGTCGGGCACCAGCTCTGTGGCGACAGCGCGGAGCAGCGTCGTGTCGCCCTCCGAGCGCTGGGCCGCGCGGCTCGCGCAGCAGGCGGCCCTGACCAACGGTGGCCGGCCGCCGCTAGGCCTTCTGCTGCCGGACGGGGTCGACAGTCGTCCTCCGACCGGCGATCGGCGGCGGCGCGCCTCCACCAGGCGGGCCGTGGCCAAGACGGTGAAGGTGTCCCCCGGCGAGGAGGGCTACTTGAAGCAGAGGTCGGTGGGCGGGGCCACGCTGCGGCTGTACCAGCGGGAGTACGAGATGCTCGTGGCCTGGTGGAAGGCGCAGCGTCTCTCAACCGTGAGCACAGAGGCTCACGACGAGGCCCTGGAGCGCTACCTCGACAAGCTCTTCTTCGACGGGGAGCCCGCGAGCCGGGCCAACAACGTCGTCCACGCCCTGATGTACCACATCGACGAGGTCTGGGCGAAGACGCCGCACTTCCCCCGGACGCGGCGAGCCCTGCGTGGCTTCCGCAAAGCCTCGCAGACCAGGTCGCGGGATGGGTGCCCGTGGGAGGCAGCGCTGGCCCTTGCCCATTGGATGGGCCGCCAGCGAACGCCGTTCATGGCGAACTCGGCGGCGCTCACCCTCGTGCTCTTCGACGGCTACTTGCGAGCCTCGGAGGGCCTCGGGCTGGGGCGGGACCAGCTCATCCCGCCGCAGGGCGGCCACGGCGCCAGGAGGTGCTGGGCCGCCATGATCTGCCCAGAGGAGGAAGGGCGCCCTACCAAGAGCGGCGACTTCGACGACACGGTCATCTTTGGCGACACCTCGGAGGCTCGAAGGCCGCTGCTCACCAAGATCCTGCAGGTGCTGCATCGGACGACCGAGGCGGGCGCGCTGGTGTTCGACGGCCTCTCTCTGAGCTCGTACGAGCGGGTCTTCCGGCGCGGGACCCTGGAGCTCGGGCTCGAGAACCTGCGCCTCACCCCGCGCTGCCTTCGACACGGCGGTGCGTCGACAGATGGCCTGGACGACCTCCCGATCGTGCAGATCCAGAAGAGAGGCCGCTGGAAAAGCCTGGCAAGCTGCAAGCGCTACGAGAAAAAGGGCCGCCTCTTGAAGCAGCTCGACCGCCTGAAGGCGGTGCCAGGCGTCCACGGTGAGACCTCTTTGCGGTGGCTCCTCACGCAGTTCCCTCGGATCCTTCAGAACCAGCGCGTGATGAGCTAAGGGCCCAACCCACCCACCCTGAAGGCCTACAATATGGGGAGCTATGGGAGTGCGGTGGTGCCGGCACCGACGTATTGCTCGGAATGCATGTTGCGCAACCCTCTTGTGATTCGGAGGCTCGTTGAGCCCGGCCTGGAAAATGCTAGCATTGTCGCTCGCCACTCGCTCATCTCTGTCATTTTCCTGGCGCTCCGCGCTTCACCGCCGCTTAGCATCCTGAACATATTTGTCTTTGACTGTTTTGTTCCGTGGCGGCGAGGCGGTCTCAGGCCAAAGGTCCGAGGGGGATCTTTGGGCGTCTCCATAGTCGCTCTGGTCCCCCGTCGCTCGCCACTCGCTCATCTCTGTCATTTTCCTGGCGCTCCGCGCTTCACCGCCGCTTAGCATCCTGAACATATACGTCGATCTCTCTCTCTCTCTCTCTCTCTCTTTTTTTCTCTCTCTCTCTCTCTCTCTCTCTCTCTCTCTCTCTCTCTCTCTCTCTCTCTCTCTCTCTCTCTCTCTCTCTCTCTCTCTCTCTCTCTCTCTCTCAACGTATATGTATCGATACATTGGAGCAACCATCGGGGCAACCATCGGGGCACTGGTCGATATGTCCATCTCTTTCTATGTAGCATCTGGCAGTGGTGGATAAGAGTGAGGTGCGGCGGGGGTCGCCGGCAGCCTGCGAGCCTCTGAAGAAGCCCGCCGCAGGCGCAGATGTTCAAACAAATATTACAACAAGCCCGCCGCAGGCGCCGAATTTTTCGTCAAAGCAAATGGGATGATCGCGGGTAGGTCGCTGGTGGATCGCGGGTGGGTCGCGGGTGGGTCGCGGGGTGGGTCGCGGGTGGGTGGGTCGCGGGTGGGTCGTGGGTGGGTTGCGGGTGGGTCGCAGGTCGGTCGCGGGCCGAGTCGCGGGTGGGACGACGACAACAAACAACAAACAACAATAATTTGTTGATTTGCGGGGCGAGAGCGAACCTCTTCCGCTAAAGGCTAGGCGGGCGACGCACAGCTTTAATTAGGGAAACAGGGCACAGGAAGGCGGCAAACAACAATAACAATCCACACCGCGAAATCCCATTTCAGCCACGCACCCAAGAAAAGTGAATGACCGTTCGGCCCCCTCCTTCAGATTCATACGTATATGAATTGAGTGCCGACCACGAACTACATATGTGTATATAAATATACGTGTCTATATCAGTCCTTCTATCTCACGGTCTCCCCACCTATTTCCGTATTTCCCTAGACCACTAGATCCCACCATTGGTCAGTTTGGAACATGTGCCCCGCAAGGTTCATTTTATAGTTTTGCCTCGCAAAGCGCATGTTTTGTTTTTTGGCCTAGCAAGCAGCATTTCTTGTAGGATGGCTTCGCAGAACGCATTTGTTTTTATTATAGCCTCGCGGGAAGTTAATCATCGGGACAACCAAGGGGGCGCGGCCCAACGCTTGGGCTGGGGCGACCCATTTTGGCTTGAGATGGTTTCCACCAGTACATAAATTCGCGCAGTGTCGCCTCGCACGCACGCCACGCACGACACGAACCGACACCGTGATCGACGTCCCGGTCGGGCGATCCCGTTTCACTTCGATCGCACCCGTCAACATCCGAAAGGCACACCCACATACACACACGCACGCACAATGTAATCATGAAGGTGGCCGAGCATATTTTCCCTCGATCCTCGCGGGTCGATTCTTGCCCCACCCCCTTGGACGCGCCGCCAGCCTCCTTCCCCACCGCCTCCAGCGCCACCTCCCCTTTCCCGCTGTTGCGCAGGAGCACGCGAGCGTCATGTTCGGGCGCCAGAACCAGCGGGGCGCGAGCCAGCTGGTCAAGAAGGCACGCTGCCTTCTCGCGGCGTGAGAGGGGGAAGAAAGGGCCAGGATCGAGGGCCCGTTCGTTGGCTCCTTGAGGCGACAACGACGACGACGACAACGACGACGACGAAAACGACGAAGTGGGAGGAGGGATAGGGGAGTGAGAAAGGCGGGTAGAGGGTGGAGGCGGGAGGAAGGGCATTGGGGGACAGATGATCCACGAAGGTGTGTAGAGGGGGTGTTACAGGATCAGAAGAGAAACCTCAGGAGACGGAAGGTGCGGAGGAGGAGGAGGAGGAGAAGGTGGAGGCGGCTCTGGCGCACGAGAAAGACGCTTCCCAGTACCCAAGTCCAGAGAAGTTGGGGCCGTCTTGATTCAGGTCCATTTTCTGAGCGCCACAAGACCATCCTCCATCCTCGTCGTCTTCTCTCCTCCTCCTTCTCCTCCATCGCGTGCAGGATCACGCGCGCGGGCGGGAGGTGGCAGAGCCGAAAGGAGGAGAAGGAGGTGGAGAGGGAGGAGGTGGAGGGGGAGGAGGAGGATAAGGAGAAGGAGGAGGAGAAGGTGGAGGACGAGGAGGAGGAAGAGGAGGAGGAGGAGATGGTGCGAGGTGGATGGTCAAGTTCGGGCCTGACTCCGAAGCTGACAGCGACAACATGAGGGGAGAGGAGAAAATGAGGAGGGAATGGACAAGTAGATGAGGAAGCGAAGAAGGAAGGGGAGGAGGCGGAGGAGGGAGGAAGGAAACGGAGAGAAGGAAGTAGGGCAGAGGAGGAGGAGGACGAGGAAGAGGAGGGGGAGGAGGAGGAGGAGGAGGAGGAGGAGGAGGAAGAGGAGGAGGAGGAGGAGGAGGAGGAGAAAGGGGATGAGAGGAGGAGGAGGAGGAGGAAGAGGGAGGAGGAGGAGGAGGAGGAAGGAGGAGAAAGAGGAGGATGAGGAGGAGGAGCGAGGAGGGAGGAGGGAGGACGGAGGAGCGGGGAGAGAGGGGGGGGGAGGGAGGAGGAAGGAGGGAGAAGGAGGAGGAGGAGGAATGGAGGAATGGAGGAATGGAGGAGGTGGATGAGGAAGAGAAATAGGAGGAAGAGGAGGAGGAGGAGGAGGAGGAGGAAGAGAGATGATGATGATGATGATGATGATGATGATGATGATGATGATGATGATGATGATGATGATGATGATGATGATGATGATGATGATGATGATGATGATGATGATGATGATGATGATGATGATGATGATGATGATGATGATGATGATGATGATGATGATGATGATGATGATGATGATGATGATGATGAGAAGGAGGAGGAGGAGGAGGAGGAGGCGGATGAGGGAGAAGGAAGTACGGACGACCACAACCACATACCAGACATGGTGGGAGCACGGTCGGCCAGGGAGTCCTAAGAGGCTCCAGCCTCACAGCCCTCTTCCGTCCTCTCTTTTCCTTCTCCTCCTCCTCCTCCTTCTCCTCCTCCTCCTCCTCCTCGTTCGCCTCCTCTTCCGTAGCCATTTTGGTTCAAGATGGCCTTGTCCCTCGGACAGAGCGTGGATACCGCTAGTCCGAGGCCAGTATCCGCCCCGGGCAACCCCAGTCGAGCTGCGCGCTGGTGGGGTTAAGAGTCTTCGGTCGCCGGCGGCCGGCGCTCCGCATGCCCACCGATGCAGTCACAGCCCCCAGGCGCCCGCGTGGCGCGAAGCTCAAGAGCAAGACGCCCAAACTCAACACAGGTGTTGCCGCTGCGAGGGATGATCTGGATGATGCGCGAAGTGGCGGTGGTCATCCTTCTGCTGCTGGCGATTATTCTCCTGATGCCGCTGCAGGTCGTCCAGACGCTGTGGACGCAGATATGCTCGAGGCCGACAGCGACGGGGAGTTCTGCCAGGACGACTACGTCCGCCAGCTCGCTGCCGAGGTCCTCTCCCGGAAGATGGCCGAGCACCGCGACGAGTTCATCAAGGACCTCACCAGCGTCGTCTCCTCGACGGTTTCGGACAAGGTCTAGAATTTCGCCTCTCACCTTGCTGACCATGCTGCTGCTGCTGCTGAGAAGCTGGCAGAAGGCGTGCAACAACTCCCCAACATGGCCAGAGGCGCATCCGAGAAGTGCTGCTCGGAGAAGCACGACGTCTTCCAACGAATGTTCCAGGAGCAGCTCGACGGCAACAAGATCAAGCCCCGCGCAATTGAGAGCCGCCTCGCCGAGCACGACGCAGTTCCTCACACCCGTAGAGAACATGTTCAGGAGCTGCGGGGCGTTGTGGCACTCGCTAACGCTAAGCCAACGCCCGCTCCTGCCAGCGCCGGCTTTGACCGCGACGTCGACGCGACCGTCGTCGGGGCTTTGGCTTCCGAACTCGTCAAGCTTGAGTCCGTCCAGCAGGTTCTTCCCGACTGGATTGTCGAGGTCGGAGTCGAGGCCAAGCTCTTCGCCACCACGGCCGCCGAGGACGTCGCTGTCGGCCCCGTTGCTAGGCGCATCGCGCAAGTCCTCGGCGCCCAGAGAACTGCTGCCGGCCCATGGAAACACTTCGAGGTCGCGGCGACGGACAACCTTCAGGCCACACCAACCATCGGAGCGGATAAGAGCCCGAGGCAGATCAAGCTCGAGACCCAAGGCCGCAAGCTCCGCGAGGCCTTCCGCAACGTCGACAGCTCCAAGAGGTGGTTCTTCGACCGCGACCGCGGCTACATCATAGCCGAATGGGGCACCGCGCTGCGCATCGTGTCGAAGCCTAGTAACATCGCCTCTGAGATCGCGCGGGCTGACAACATTTCCCAGACGCTCGGCCTCCCCGAGGAGCGCCTCGCCGGCGCTGCCAAGTCGATCATCGCGCCGCCCGGGGCAGCCGAGCGGAGCCCATGCAGGGCTTGCTGCTGTCATCGACGGCCGCTCGGCTGGGGCGCTGTCCTTCTCTTTCTAATCGCGGAACACTTCGCGCGCTGCTGCGGCACCACGGGGCCCGCGCGTAGCCGAAGCTCGCCCGCCTCGAGCGCGTAGACTTCGCCCGCGGCGCGATGGCCCACCAGGAGGCGCACCAGGACTTGGCGCAGCTGACAGACTTTCAAGCCGAGGCGGCGACGTCCGCCCGCATCTACACCAGCTACTGCGCGGGCTCTGCAGTAGAAGGCGGTGCGGCCACTTTCCCCCCTGCGGGGTGCGAAGCAGAAGTTTCGCTTTGCTCTCGCGTGCCTGGGCGAGTGCCGCGCGCTGCGCTGCGCCTCGAGGGCATCCGCATCCTTCACCCTAACGCGCGCAACCACGACGGCACCGTCGCGCAGCTCAATTCGGCATCGAAAGTTTCAGCTGGCGCGAAGGTAGCGCAGGCCGACCTCCACAACCTGATGGCTGTGCATGGCGACGTGAGCTTCGCGCCGGGGGGCCCGCATCTCCCGCGCCAGCCTCGCCGCGCCCGCGCCGCTCGCTGGGCCCGCGCGCTCCGCCCCCTTACCGAAACTGCGTCGGACGGGCCCACTCGGCGCATCCCCAGGGCGAAAATTTGTTCCTCTCGGGCCCGGAACGACGGCGTGATGTCATGAGCAGACGCGCGTGAGATAAACGTCGTCGGATCCCGTGAAGTTCGCGCTGACCCCAGCGTGGTTCGGCGTTTGTTTCGGCGGTCCGGTTTCCGCCCGCGCGGATCCGACGTCGGATTTGCCGGGCCCGCGCTCGGTTTTGTTTTTTTTTCGGCAGATGCGATTGCTACCGCGCTTTAAATTTAAATAGTTAAAGTAAAATTGGGAACCGGAGGACATCGGATCCGCGGGCCCCGGAACCCGCCCGCGCCAATGTTCTGCGGGGGAAGGGGGTTCGGTCATTCATGTCCAACTCATCGTCGCCACTCGCACCTCATGAAGACAAATTCCTCTTGCGCAAGTATGACAGGAACTCGCGCTCGACGTAGATGTCGGGCAGATCGCGGGCCAGCTGGTCTGGGCGGGCCCCCGCTCTACTTACCTCTGAACCGTCGGCGAAAGGCTGGCCCGAAGATCTCGCCGACCGCTTCGTCCGCGACCACGCGGCCCACGCGGTCGAGCTCGCCCAGCTCGTTGCCGGGCCGCGAAGTGCACATCGCACGCCTCGTCATCTGTTCGAGCCCGAGCTATTCCAGAAGCAGCCGCAGAGCGTCTGCAAGCAGCTCAATTACGAGGAGAAGATCCCCCCGCGGCAGATCGAACTTCATCAGTGAACCATCAGGGAGGTCGCCGCGGATATTCGCAGCCGTCTAGTTGCACGCGCCCCTGAAGCTACATCGACGCTACGTCGACTCTTCGATTGGCGAGACAGATGGCAGGAGCTGCGTGGAGGAACGACGCGAAGCTGGCTAATAAGCTCATCAGCAACCACAAGATTTGTCCACGACTTCTTGGACGTCCGTGACCAACGGGCTCTGCTCCGCCACGCGGCTTCCTTCCAGCATTGGTGCGACAGCATTCAACGTCGACGCGCCGATGGGCTTCGGTCGCGCGTTTTGGAGCACGTCGCTCGACCCCGCGCTCCACTGGTCCTTTGGCGCCAACAGGCGGCATTGGAGCGCTGGCTTGCGCCACGCGCCGTCAGACACCCGTCGGAGCTAAACAGCGCCACCCGCGATGCCACAATGATGACGGAGCGCCTGATCGAGCACTGGGCACCGATCTTCACTGCCAGGCCGATCGACGTGAATTTTGCGCAATCCTACATCGAACAGCACGCCCCGCCCCTGGACTCCGCCAAGGTGGCCTGGACCTGGACTTCGCCACGAAGAAGCACTACACTGAGCCTGGACCTGACTCGATGCCCTACCCGGCGCGGGCAGCCCCCCCCCCCTATTGGGGCGGATTTTTTTTTGGACACGACGATGTGGATCTCGAGTGGGCATGCCATTCAACAGCTCCAGCGCCGCGTTGCACGTGCCGAAAGGCGAGGAAGTTGACGACTCGCTGGGTGCCCGGTGCGCCCGCGCCCCCAGCGCAGCGCGCATCCTCGGTCTCCGCGACACGGACATCAAGATTATAACGGCCACCATCAACCTCCATTTCA